TTAGTCTTTGGCATGCGCATGCTGCAGTCGCTACCTGGCAACTCAGAATTGAGTATTCTGGCTGCCTGATTGGCAGATAAGAGGGCTTGTCATATGCTGCTGCAGTTGTTATGAGCCACTCTCATAAAAACGTAGAATGTGACGGCAGATAAGAGCCATCCAGCATATCTAGTCTGTAAAAAATTTTTAATACTTGTGTGACAAGACCAATCACGCCACTGTGCATTGGAGGAGCCTGGTTGTCCGCCTGCTGCCTTTAGACTATGGCCCCATGTTGAAACACTTGATTTTCCCCTGCAAAGACACGAAAGCCGGGTCATTCGGTACTTGCCCTATATGAACAGGGATATTCCAGATAGCTATGCCATGGAGCCCATTTGTATAACAAAACACTATGTGAAAGACTTTGGCTCCATGGCAATTGAACTGTATGTATGTGATCTGAGTGCCATTCAGTAATAATGTGCGCTCAGATCTAAGCTATCTGGGGATATGTTGAATGTACCTGTTTTATGCAATAGCTGCACAGTTATATATTTTATGTATTTTATTGTCTTTTGCTACCATGTGTTCAATGGAGTTTTGCCTCTGTCCTTGGAGATAATTGGATTACTTCCCAATTATCTCCAGGATAGAAGACTCTGTGGAACTGGTTTTGGGCAGAAAAGCCATGCTTCATTTGGTCACAAAGGATTTCGATCTATCTTTTGAACCACTGGACCAATTTGTATGATTTTGACGTATGTTTGTATTTGGAGTATGCTGATTCTGAAAATGTAAGTGAATGTGATTCATACTTTTAAAATTATGAATAATGTGGATGGTTTTTCCTATTCGGCTGTTGACAGCATTCGTATGCTTCTCCGGTTCGGTGGATTGGTGTCTACAGTAGCTGCCTGTATATCTGGAAGGGAATATCTCCTAAATGGCTGTTAACCCCTTTTATGCCTGGGGGTGCCGTTACAACTTGCATTAGTCTTTTATATCTTGGATAGCCTTATGCCTATCCTACGCATGCTTAAACCCCTTCACTGTGTTAACTTCTACCACTTCAGCTGGAAGGCTATTCCATGCATCCACTACCCTCTCAGTAAAGTAATACTTCCTGATATTATTTTAAAACATTTGCCCCTCTTATTTAAGACTATGTCCTCTTGTTGTGACACTCTCAGGGCTGAGGGTTATAGTGATGTTTAGAGTGACCCATTAAATATAATTTAATAATAGCAAACATTTTGGTGCTTTGGTTTCTTTTTTTGTGATGGATTTAACTTTGTCCATTTTTATCTGCTCACACCAATCACCTAGTACTACGTAAATATTCAGATCAAGACTATTACGATCTGTTCTTTCTTTTAATCATTTAAATCCGTTAACAATTTAATGCTTTACAATTTGACTATTTACAGAGATTGGCTATTAAATTTATCACATTTAAAATAGTTCAATATGATACTCTGGCAACAGAAGCAGAGCTGAACATCACATTAACAGATATTTTTTTAGCAGCACCGTTTTCTGGACAATCCCACTAAGAAAGCAGAGGTGCCTCTTGCTTTCGCAAAGTTGAAATTGTTGCTGCAATTTCCAGGAGGTCTCTTTTGGCACAGATCTGAGTAGATTGAATTTAACAATCATTAAAAGCAAGCTCCATTTATGTCCTGCCAGCAGACTTGGCCCGGGATCTTAGATTTTCTTCAAAACTTTTATTTACTTACTGAGATTAACCTCTATGAACGATCCCCATCTCCTATTGGGATTCCAACTGTAATGTCTTCAGTCAAATAGAATTATCATTACAATGGAGAACGTTATAATATTTTCCTGTTTCTATAGTACTGTAAATCTAGCGCGGCTACATGATTCATTAGGTTCGACTCTTGGATAAATCTAACAATGACTTTCAGATGCTTCGAATACACTGATTACACATTATGCATTTTCCCACTGACCCTACATTACAAATCTCTTAAATAAGAAATTACATACCACCTAGTTTTTTTTTTTTTTTGGCTCTCTATATAAATCAAAATATAGTTAGAAAAATGCATATGCCGTAGACATTTTCAGTACTATAGACACAAAATCCCATAGTTCATTGCAACGGCTAACTTTACAAAAATACCAAATACTCATTATAACTGCTTTATTTGACGTAGACAGTAGATCAGGGATAGGCAACCTTCGGCACTCCAGATGTTGTGGACTACATCCCCCATAATGCTCTTACACCCACAATGCTGACAAAGCATCATGGGAGGTGTAGTCCAAAACATCTGGAGTGCCAAAGGTTGCCTATGCCTGCAGTAGATACTGATAATAGCCACTAAATACTGAATGGCAAAATTTTGTGCAAAAGTAAAAATGTTGAGGAAACGCATTACTTCTGCTTTATTACTGGGTATAATTACTATGGATTGAAATTAATGTTGATGAATCCACAATACTGAAAGAAACTGGCATGCCTAACATACCCATTCATCGATTAAAGGAAGCATTTAGATGACTTTGATATGCAAAGTATGGCAGGATCAAATGAATGTCTAATGCTGCTTGCCAAATGTATAAATACATAGTTATTTAGAATTATATATACCAGTATCAATGCCAAATACTAGTCCAGTCCCAAGTGTGATACCTGATTTATCATTGGTATTCACTGGAGGAGGTACAAGATTACATCAGCACAATCATGTTATAACCATGTGTTCCGGTTAACCGGACATGGAATACTGGGGGCCTAGCTCTCTACTCACACTGACCATGATGCTCTCTGCTCACACTGATAGCGTTTTTTTACTTAAAGAATTACCATAACTGTTAAGAACCCCCAACTTAAACATTATTAATTTTGGTGAATGGCAAGATGAAAGAGAGATGCTTTGGTTGGCCTGATTCTTTTAGTCTCAGAAACGGAAGTAAAAGAAGGCACTTCTCTGTCACCTCCAAACGTCTACTCCACATGAGGTATTGTGGAGCCTGCAATTAGGAAGGCATGGTCTTCCTTCAATTAATGATTTATGATCTTCAGGTATTTATTACAATGGGATTCAAAATCTACAGCCTCCATCATGGCAGAGATTCAAGCCCTGGTAACTAGAACGGGGAAAATGAAGGACAAGATGGAAGAAATAATCACCTCTTATAATATAGCAAAACTACCTAAAACTACATGTGCCATAGGATTGACCAACTGTGGAGGCTCTGAATGATCTGTAGAGAAATACGGTCCTCTGTTGAGGAGCCTTTCTAGGAAGAACGCTTATGATTCCTTGACATCGACTATGAGTCACACCTTTAAAAATATTTTATCTAATCTCCTTGATAGGTGCCAGATGGATAGAATTCACTGATAAACCAGAACTTACAGGAGTATCCCAAGGGACATCATTATTTGGATGCCCCTTTGCTCCACTAAATAAGCCCTCCTGCTTGATGTTACCCTTCTATTTCTTATAAGAGAAACTGTAAATGAGTCTCCTACGGTTTGGCATTATGCACATTGTACAGAATGAGGGAGCTGTATGCTGATGCATATCTTATTCAGCAACCTGGTGTGAAAAGAATGCATGTGTGGTTCCCTTTTAAATTAATATTTTGTCATGGGAATCCCAGGGTATTGCCTCAAGGGGTCAAGTGAGGACATATCTGGAGTCCTTTTTTGCTTGCATCACTTTTCTCTTCCACCTTTGACCCATATGTTATCCATTTGAACAAACGTCCATGGATTTGCTCATTTACCGGTGACTGTTTTATCACTTACATATGAGGTCTGCATCATAACCAATTGGGTTCTGTTTGTTCCATGTTGAAGGCTGGCCAAAGGTTGGGCTTTTGACTGAGATCTAGAATAGCTGACATCTTACAAAATATATTCTTTTTGGGGAAGGTGGGGGGGAAAGGGATATTGGATAGGAAGTAATGTAACCAGTTTCTTTAACCCCTTAAGGACCAAACTTCTGGAATAAAAGGGAATCATGACATGTCATGCATGTCATGTGTCCTTAAGGGGTTAATGTTAAGGAGTTGAATATTCTCAATAGGCGGTGGCTCATGTCGCAGGATATGAAACAATATATCAAAACAGCTGCTGTTTGTTAGACTGGCCAAAAGATATGGGTTAGACTAAAAAAATATGGAATATTGATACAGGTTCAACATTTTTAATTATTTCTTGTCATACAACACAATTTTCATTAATATGTATGCCCCTAATGACCCCTCTGTTACAATTCATACCAACTTACTTTATAGATTTTTACAATTTGGTCTCATTTATAAGGAGGACTTTAATGTCAATCCTTATCATTCAAGAGAAAGGATTGAGAAATTACAAGAAATTATGAGAAGCCAAGACTGGTGCTAGTTGTGATTTAGAGATTGATAAATATTGAAATAAATAATTAATCTTACTCCTTGGGCGTTTTATCTACAGGTGTGTATATATTGGCCAGTGGAGAAGAGGTGGCATCCTACAACACAGACAACATGCATGGTCATTGTGTCTTCGTGATAATTGTGAAAAGGGCATCTGGCCTGTACCAGATCCTCTGTTTGTCTATTTGTCATTTAACTAATGACATTACCAAGGACAGTAGCAGGATTTACTTTATATTAATAAATGTATTTATTTATTGAGACTTTCTAGCCAAAGGGAAATTACACTGAGAAATATGTTAAACATAATTAAAGTCCATTGTGTAATAATGCTTGTAAAAATACAAGCATTTCATCTAAATTTTGTGTAAATGGTGACATTCCCAAGTCTACAAATTAAGTAATTTGGATGGTATTTTAACTCCTATTTCATTTGCGCCGTTTGTTTTTCATCAGCAACACACACACACACACGATCAATCTTAACAATTAGAGCAACTCACTTTGATCTTAGAACATATATGAACATGCAGATTTGCTTTTCAGAAAAAAAAAAATAAACCACAGTTTATTTGTGGTCAAGTGGAATAAAATGCAATAAATAGGGAACATGAGAAAGTGGTATTTGTTAAAAGACAGAGTGCAAAAAGGTCAGTTCCATGTCAAATTTTAATTTGATGTAATCTTCATATAACATAGTAATTAACGTATAAACATACACGAGAAGCCTGTTATCAGCCCTGAAAGACTTAGTAGCACATACTAGAGTAGAATATTTTTTGCATTTTGTTATAGATTAAATTACAATTAAATATACTGATGGGTATTGGTAGAATGGGTTGGATACTATGTTGAAGTTGGATAGACAACATTAGTGATGTTTAAAAGCTGTGTTTTTCTCCACCTGACCAAAAAAGTGTACATTTAAATTAAAAATGTACATTCTAGAATATATTCACATAGTGTCATTGATTCTGAACAGTAGAACTTAATACTGAAAAAAAAAAAAAAGAATGGTGCACAAGCCTGGTGTACATATGATTGGAGTTGTCAGTACCTTGGCCTATACATGTGTGGAGTCTCAGTATTTCTGCCCATGCTAGAGTGTTTTCAATCTATGGTTTTGTAATTGTAATCTTTTTCCAGAGTCAGCATCAGCTGAACACCAGAAAATTTCTGGACATTTGAACATTGTTACCAGACTTTGGCTGTTGTATTGATCCTGGGACTTTAGAGAGTTACGATCTCTGCTTTATGCCCATAAGAAGAGCACCCAAGAAAGAATACAAAAGTTTAGCAAAAAAGAAAAAGACAACAGAAGATTTAAAACAAAAAGATAGGTAGAGGAGAGATAGTATTTGGAAGATCGGGCTCAGAAGATTGGACAGAGAGGCAAAAAAAATAATGTAAAATTCAACAGGTACAGTAAGGGAAAAAAATATTTGATCCCCTGCTGATTTTAAACGTTTGTCCACTGACAAAGAAATGATCAGTCTACAATTTTAATGGTAGGTGTATTAACAGTGAGAGACAGAATAACACAAAAAATCCAGAAAAATGCATGTCAAAAAAGTTATAAATTAATTTACATGTCAATAAGTGAAATAAGTATTTGATCCCCTATCAATCAGCAAGATTTCTGGCTCCCAGGTGTCTTTTATAGCGGTAACGAGCTGAGATTAGGAGCACTCTCAATTTAAAACTTTTTTGACATGCGTTTTTATGGATTTGTTTTGTTATTCTGTCTCTCACTGTTAAAATACACCTACCATTAAAATTATAGACCGATCATTTCATTGTCAGTGGGCAAACGTTCAAAATCAGCAGGGGATCAAATACTTTTTTCCCCTCACTGTAAATCTGTAACCATAATAGAATCACCATAAAATACCTTGTGTATCAATTACATGGAAAATAAAGTATATCCAGAATGAAATGTAGAAATATGTGCATAAAGTATAAAAAGCATTTATTACTTACACATAGGTAAGGATCAATCAACATAAAAACAAGTAAAAGTCTGTCCACAATCTGTCCAACGCATTTCCTCCCACAACAGGGACATCCTCAGGAACTTTGCAGCAGTGAGACAGGGACACAAATGAATAAAATCTATCCCCCCTTAAATACAACCACAATCAATAAAAAAAGTATTTTCATATGTTCCTCAGTTAAATTGCAGCTGTTCTCGGTCAAATTACGATCACTCCCTGGTTCCGTGTTTGTGATGTCCTCACGTTCCGTTCAAAATATCGGGCGTGCGTTCCACCTGCGTTGTTAATACACAATATGGATATAGGGGGAGGGGGAAATATATTTAAAATACTTTTTAGCACTCTTCCTTATTTAATTAAATAGTTCTCTTATGTCTCTTTATATTTATATGATTCAAGATACAATCCTCATGCAATACAATCAATGTATATGATAGAGCCTCTATGTGCAACCATATGCAAATTGTGAGAGCATTCCCCTTACCTTTTAAAGGGGCACATTCCATAATTTTAAAATAAGTGAGTAATCTTATTTTTCTCACCTGTTGGTGAAATGGGTGATATAAATGCCTATTTTAGGAATATAAAAAGAGGGATTTAAACATACATATAATTATAAGGATGATTCCTTTTTACCCTTATATGTGTATGATATTTTGAATGTAAAGTCTTCAGGTGTCAATAGATGAGTTTTAAACTATTTTATTTTTTTTCCACAATTTTTTAAGAAGAATGATTTTTTTAAGGCACATGGTTGCAGAGAGGGACCCTTTACACTCCTGTACAAAAGATACAGAAGACTAAATATGAAAATATGAAAAATCCCAAACACCATAAAATGAAAGTTGGATAGAGTAGAACATATGTATGATATACAAAGCCTCAGTAACATGACTATTATGATCCTAATCTAAAAAACACGATAAATCAATCTCTAGATTGAATCCCTTGGCTGTAGGGTTTTCAGTGTATTAATCCAATAGGTTTCCCGTTGGGCTAACTTTTTAATTAGGTTACCATCTCTAATGATTTTGTATTCTTTCTACACCTAGGTAATAAAAATCTTTTCAATTAAATTTGTTACATGTATTACAATGGATTGGAACTATATGTTTATTAGATTTTTTTTTCCGGATATTACTCTGATGTTCCAAGATATACTCTTTTAGTTTTTCTGCAGGTCCGACCTACATACTGTTTCCCGCAGGGACACTGCAGGACATATACTACATTTTTTGTTTAACAGTTTATATTAGATTTTATATTAAACTCTTTCCCTGTTATGGTGCTTTTGAACCTTTTTACATGTAACAGTCTCTGAGTTCTACAAGCTTTGCATCTGTTACATGAGTGAGTGTAAACTTTTTCTATTTTCCATCGTAATATTCTAATCTGAATTTCTCAAGGCATAACTAGGTGCCAATATGTTTTTTACATTTCTTGCTTTCCTGAAAATTACTGGTGCCTTCCTTGGGAGTACCTTCCCCAGGATATGGTCCTCCAGTAGAATATCCCAATGCTTATTTATGATTCTTTTAATTTCTATCATATTTTTTAGCTATTAATTTGTCTGACAAATGGTTGGCTTGTTTGTAATAATCATTATCTCTCGAGCAGTTCCTCCTGATTCTAGTTAATTGGCTTTTGGTATTGAATCTACCCAATTTTTATGATGACAACTTTTTTTGTGTATAGAGCGGTTTCCTTCAGTCTCCTTAAAATAAAATTTTGACTGAATCCTGCCCTGATTAACAAAAAATGTTATGTCCAGAAAATGTATGCTATCTGTGTTATATGTGTGAGTGAACTTCAAAGTGTAATTATTGATATTTATATACTGTAAATAATCTTCTAAATCTTGTTGTGTTCCTTTCCAAATTAACAAAACATCATCTATAAAACGTTTCCATAGGACCAGGTTTGCAACCCAGCTATGCCCCCTCCATATTGAGTTGGCTTCCCAATCTCTCATGTATATGTAGGCATAGCTGGGGCAAACCTTGTCCCCATGGCTGTGCCCGTCTGTTGAAGGTGGAAAGCTCCATTGAAATAAAAATAATTATGATGAAGAATGAAATCTATGCCCTTTTAATAGAAAGTTTCTTAAGGGACTTTCTACATTGATATCTTCTGTTATGATTTTTTCAACCGCTGTTAGACCCATTTTGTGCTTGATGATGGTATATAAAGATGTTACATCTATCGTTACCCATATGTTGTTCTCGTCCCACTGTTTATTATCAAGAATTTCTAAACTATGGGATGAATCTCTTAAATATGAGGGCGCTTCTTGGGCATATTTTTGTAAATGGTGATCTATAAATTCTGATAGATGAGCTGTTATTGAATTAATCCCACTAATGATGGGTCTTCCCGGGGGTTCAACAGGGTTTTTGGCAAAAAAAACCAAATTGGAATTACCGGATATTTATTAAAAAGATATTGGGCATTCTCTTTGGAAATTATGTTTTTACAGGTTGCAAAATTTAACAAGGATTCTAATTCTAAATTGAAATCCACCGTAGGATCCTGTTCTAATTGGACATATGTATCTTTATCCCCCAATATTCTACAAGCTTCTTTTAAATAATATTCTTTCGTCATTATTACTATCGCTCCTCCCTTATCTGCCTCTTTGATGATAATTTCTTCCATACTTTGCAATCTGCGAATACTTTCTGCTTCCTCTTTACTCAGATTGAATTTGTTCTTTTTTTTGTTTGTTTAGATTGGATTCTAATTGTTCTAAGTCTTAGTACACTGAAAACCCTACAGCCAAGGGGACTCAACCTAGATATTGATTTATGGTGTTTTTTAGATTAGGATCGTAATAGTCATGTCACTGAGGCTTTGTATATCATACATACGTTCTACTCAATCCAACTTTCATTTTATGGTGTTTGGGATTTTTCAAATCTTTATATTTAGTCTTCTATATCCTTTGTAAAGGAATGTAAAGGGTCCCTCTCTGCAACCATGTGCAATAGAAAAAAATCATTCTCCTTAAAAAAAATCATTCAAAAATTGTGGAAAATAAATAAAATAGTTTAAAACTCATCTAATGACGCCTGAAGTCTTTACATTCAAAATATCATACACATATAAGGGTAAAAAGGAATCATCCTTATAATTATATGTATGTAGAACAGTTTAAATCATAGTTACATAGTTACATAGCTGAAAAGAGACTTGCGTCCATCAAGTTCAGCCTACCTCACATTTGTTTTTTGCTGTTGATCCAAAAGAAGGCAAAAAAAACCCAGTTTGAAGCACAATTTTGCAACAAGCTAGGAAAAAAATTCCTTCTTGACCCCAGAATGGCAGTCAGATTTATCCTTGGATCAAGCGGTTATTACCCTACATTGAAAGATTATATCCTTGAATATTCTGTTCTTGCAAGTATGCATCTAGTAGCCGTTTGAACATCTGTATGGACTCTGATAAAACCACTTCTTCAGGCAGAGAATTCCACATCCTGATTGTTCTTACAGTAAAAAAACCTTTCCTTTGCCTTAGACGAAATCTTCTTTCTTCCAGTCTAAACACATGGCCTCGTGTCCTATGTAAAGTCCGGTTTGTGAATAGATTTCCACACAATGGTTTGTATTGGCCCCGAATATATTTGTATCATATCGTAAAGTTATCATATCCCCTCTCAGGCGACGTTTTTCTAAACTAAATAGGTTTAAATTTGTTAACCTTTCTTCATAGCTGATATGTTATGCCATAATATCCTTCTTTAGAACAGGTGCCCAAAATTGCACAGCATATTCAATATGGGGTCTTACCAGTGATTTATAAAGAGGCAAAATGATATTCTTGTCCCGAGAATGAATGCCCTTTTTCATGCATGACAATATCTTACTGGCCT